GCTTGGTTTCTAACATTTTATTTTGAAATAATTCCAGATTTGCAGGAAGTTGCAAAGATAGTAGAGAGAGATCTCATGTATCACTGATCCAGTTTTCTCCAATAATTGCATCTGACATAACTATAGTGCATTACAGAAACTAGGAAATTGACATTGGCACAATGTGTGTGTGTGTATATATGTATATGTATATGTATATATATATGTATGTACACATATATATGTATACATATATATGTATTTATGTGTGTGTGTGTGTATATATATATATATATATATATATATATATAAAACATTGTGCCATTTATCACATATGTAACCACCACAGCAATCAAAATACAGAACTTTTCTACCACATGGAACATTTTCATCCTACCCATTTATAATCAAACCCCCTTTCCCCCACCTCCACACATATTTATAACCCTTGGCAACCACTAATCTGTTCTGTTGTCCTGTGCATTTATATATTTGTCATTTCAAGAATGTTATACAAATGAAATCATACAGTATGTGACCTTAGGATTGGCTTTTTCCACTCAGCATAATACCCTTACATGTGTACTTGAATAATGTTTTAATCCACCCTGCAATCCCTGTCTTCTAATTGGTATATTTATACCATTTACATTTCATTTAATTGAAATTATAGGGCTTAAGTCTGCCATTTTAGTCTGTTTTCTCTTTGTTAGCTTTGTTTTTCATTTCTCTGATCCTTTTTCATGCCTTAATATGAGTTACTCGAATATTTCTTAGACAACATATTGATTTATCTATAGTGATTTTTAACATATCTCATATATAATGGATTATTTTAGTGATTTCTCTAAGTACCACATTATATACATATAGCTTATCAGTCGATTGGTATTAGCATTTTGTCAATTTGAGTGAAGTGTAGAAATTTTGCCTGCTGTATCTCTTTACCCTCCCTAGTTTATCACTGTATTAAATAACTCCTCTTCATATGAGAACCACATCAGACAACATTATGGTTTTGGCTTCAACCCTCAAACATTATTTAGAAAATTCAAGAGGAGAAAGAAAGTATAGAGTGTTTGTCCATGATTTTTCTCCTTCTCTTCTTTCTTCCCTTCTGATGTTCTCATATTCCTTCTTTTATCATTTACTTTGTATTTCAAGAACTCCCTTTAGCCATTCTTTTAGAATAGATTTGCTGGCAACAGATTCTCTTAGTTTTCCTTTTTCTGCAAATGTCTTTATTTTCCCTTCATTCCTGAAGGATAATTTTGTTAGACATAGAATTGGGGGTTGGCAGCTCTTCTTTTAGCAATTAAAAAATAATGTGCCACTTTCTTCTGGTCTTCATGGTTTCTGAGGAGAAATCTGCTGTAATTCAAATTGTTTTTTCTCTACAAGCAAGGAGTCATTTATTTCTCACTGCTTTCAGGAATTGTTTCATTTTTTATTTTTATTTTTAATTTTGTTTTCTGAAATTCAATTATGATGTGTCTTGGAGGTCATCTCAGCTATAGGTTTACATCTGTTGGAAAAATTTCAGACATGATCTCTTTAAATACTTTTTCAGCCCCAACATCTTTCTCCTCTTTTTTTTCTGGAACTCCAATAACATGAATATTAGATCTTTTTTTGTAGTCCAACTTGTCCTTGCGGTTCTATTCTCTATTTTTCTTTATTTTTTTAATTCTTTTTTTTCTGTGTTGTTCAGATTGGGTAATTTCTATCTTTCTGTCTTCGAGTTGACTGATCCTTTTCTTCTATCCTTTCCATTCTGCTGAGAACACCCAATGAGTTTTTAAATTTTGGTTATTTCTATCTCAGTTATACAATTTCCATTTGTTTTTTCTTTATATCTTCCCTTGCTGAGGCTTTCCATTTTAAAAATTTTTTTTCAAGCATGTTTGTAATTTCTCATTAAAGCAGTTTTATGATGACTGCTTCAAAATTCTTGTCAGATGATGTCTACATCTGTACCATCTCAGTGTTAGTGTCTGTTGACTGTTTTTCTCTTTTGGATTTAGATTTCCCTGGCTCTTGCTATGAGTGATTTTCAAGTGTATGCTGGACATTTTGCCAATTATGTAATGAGACTCTGGATCTCTCATAAATCTATTTCAGAAGATGAAGGGGGAAGTTGCCTCGTTATTGCCCAAAGGGGGTAGAAGTCAGTTTTTCAAATTAACCTTATTTACGTCATGGAGGGCGGTGCTTCCTTACTGCTAGGTGGAGGTCTGATTTCAGGCTCTTCACTAATCATCCACTTACATCACCCGGGATGGCTGGGAAGGTGAGAGGCCCCTCTTTACTGCTCTTTCTGTGGCCTCCACTGACACCACTGCCAGAAGGGAGGTCTCACTGTCAGTGGAAGCTTTAGCCACCAATTCAGTGTCCTCTGACACAACAGAAAGAGGAGAAATGTCTCATTAAGTGGGGCAGAAGTACAGGATCCTCACATGGCCTTCACTGACATCTTTGAGAGAGACCTCGTTACCATCAAGTAGAAATAAAAATCTTCATAGTGGTAGGAAAAGAACAAAGGGGCAAAGTCAGAAGTTTAGACTCACCACTCAGTCTTTGCTGATGGAAGGGGGATTAGCTGTGGCTTCTGAGTGGTGTTTGCCTGGGATACGTAAATTATGATTTAAAGGTTTTCTCTTCCTACTTTGTCCCTTCCTGCTTCTTTGTCTAGAGAACAGGCATTTTTCTTGCGGAGTTTTTTGTCTGCTCCCACTGGAGTTTCTCCATTACTGGCTCTTCTAGCAGCCAGTTCTGGATAAGTGAAGCAAAAAGAAAACACAGAAAATTCACTGCCATATTGCTCCTCAGGTCCCAAGGTCCCTAGGCAGTTTGTCTTCGCTCTATCTTTCAAAGTCCTCTTTATGTCTATTTTACGTATAATTTCCAGAGTTTTTAGCTGTGTTTAGGAGGAGGAATTGAGAAACATATGTCTATTCCATCTTGATCCAGAACCAGATGTTTCAAATCAGCTTTAATTATTAGAATCTCCTTATCTGTAGGAGGAAATGGCTTTCCTCCCCTGCTTGCCAGTTTTTCTTCCTCTCAGCTTTCCCTTCCTAACCAAGCAAGGTTGGCTCAGAAAAATTCTTTCATTAAATAATCTCATGTGGTCACTACTACCAGCTGTGACAGTGTCTCAACCATTCCCATGTTAATACGATCTTTTCCTGTAGTCCATTTAAACATGGGACACAGACATTAACAAGATATGTTGATTAAATTCTCAACATATGCCGATCAGTTTTCCAAACAGATATTCAGGTCTTGTCTTGATATTGAGACTTTCTATAATAAGTGACTACTCCAAACTTATTAATGACCAATAATATTAAAGAGAAAATTTTCAGTCTGTTCAGTCTATGGATTTGTGTATTAAAATACCTCCTTTCTTCTCCCAAGCACTCCTATCTAGGAGGCTCACATGTAGCATAAATATTTGAGTGATTAAAATGATGTCGTTTTAGCCAGAAATAGAGCTGGAAGTGGAATTAACAGTTATGGGACGGGAGTCTAATAGACACTAGAAGTTTTACATGCATTATCTAATTTATTCCTCAAAATAAAGCTATAAGTATATTTTACCAAGGATTTTCAAGGTCACACAGTTAGTGAAACCCAACTGGGACTGAACTTCTGCTGTAAGTATAGATCTATCCAGCAGTTCATGAACCACTGGTACACCATTAAATCAATTTAATGGGTAGCAAACATTTTTTTCTAAAAGTGAAGCTCAGAGTAGAATATCACCAGGCATTTCTTATAGTAAGAGAAAGTGTTATTTAATGAAAATAAAAGTTTATTTCTTTTATATCTACCTCTATTAATCTAATATGTGCCCTGAGTTCCAATGCATAAACCATTTTTATAATGTGGCTTGCAGTCAAAGAAGTCTGGGACTATTGTGTTAGGTGACCTTTTGAGATACTTCTAAGCCTTAATCTAAGTAATATTGTTAACCATACCCACTGTGCTGATACTTTTCCAGGAAAATGCATTACTCTTCAAAAGCAAAATTTATTTTTTAAAGTCCCAAACTGCAGAATCTCCAGGTTAAAACAGAAAGTAGTTATTTCTAAGGCATGTAACTCTTGCTGCCCATGATTTGTGTGTGTGTGTGTGTGTGTGTGTGTGTGTGTGTGTGTTTCTGATAAGAGTACATTTTGCCATTTTTTTTTCTATTCACCACAAAACTCTTAAAGAAGATGAAATTACAATCAGATTCACAATACAATGAGAATTTGACACTTAAAGTACAAAAGAGACATTAAACTCCAGTGGTTAAGCGGGCAGATTCTCGAGTTACACAGATGTATTTCAAATCCAGGCTTTGTCACTTAGAACCCTCTGCAAATTACTCTGCTACTTAATTACCTTACCTGCAAAATAGTAATAATAGTAGCAACTAACTCATTGTGATAATGTTGGGATTAGAATGAGAGATACATATAAAGTTATTATCAAACTATTTGCCTTATAGCAAAAACTTAATTACTGTTAGCTTTAGTTTATTACTTCTGAAGTAAGACATTTATGAAAACTAGTAATTCCAGAGGATGTCTTGAACTGTTACAGGCAGGAAACGAACCTATTTCCTTTCATGCTAGACTTTACAAATTGCCCTTTTCTCAGAGTATACTAAACAATGAATTAACATAGCCAAGTCTTACACCGTAAATATTAGTTGGCTGATTTTACACAGAAGGACAAGGGAAGAAAATCATGTGTGTGTGTTTTTTTGTTTTTGGTTTTTTTTTTCAGTTTTTGTCTCTTTATGTGCAAGTGGGCATGGCTGTACAAACCAGTCCTCTTAATAACCTAATTCTAGTTTAACTGACATAACTTTGTGGGGTCAAGTCAAGAGCTAGAAATTATAGAGCAAAGCTGGATTTCTACACTAGGACACAAACCCCAAGAGTTGGCAATCCTAAATAGTGTGTTTTGAAAATGACTGAGATACCTGAGCATATCTTTGATGAAAGGACTTTTGATATTGCAGAACAACGTTGAGCCATCCATGTTCCCGATGCAGAAAGGCTCCCTGAACCTCCTGAGGCAGAAATGGGAATCCAGCCAGAGAAGCGAGTGTTGGCCCAGGGACAATCAGTGCAGGCAGTCTCAGCCTCAGGAAAGCAAATTGCTTGAGACTGAGGAGGTGGCATCAGCACCTGAACCTCCAGATCCCCCAAGTCTGCCTTGCAGTACAGGGGAAGTGATGTTGAGCTCAGAGCCTGAACAAAAGGGTCCAGAGGACAAGAGTGATAACTCCAGGGAATCCAGCCAGCCCGAAGTGCTGAAGGAGGATTCCCTGAGTGGTCGGCGCAGGATTGAGCGCTTTTCTATTGCCCTCGAAGAGCTAAGGAGTGTGTTTGAGGCCCCTAAGAGTGGAAACAGACCAGGCGGACCAGCCAGACCAGATGGACCAGCCAACTGTGGCCAAAAGGTAAAAAATCATTGATTAATTGACAATAAGTCATTGAAATTGAGATTTATTTCTAAGCATGCAATGTTGTTATTGTTGTTGTTTCCTCCTTACCTGTACTGTAGACAAACTTCCCGAAGCAACCATGTGATGCAGTGTGAAATGTGGCATCTTCTATTCCTCTATGGTCTGTTCCAATGGGGATTTGACTCCTTTCACTCCCACAAAAACAGTTCTAATATGCCCTCTTAACGTTGATCTTTCTTTATGTATGTGCCTTGTTTCAAGCCTAAGTTGTAAGTTCTTTAGAGGCAGGGACAATTTCTACTCACTCTTTATACCTCAAACATCTAACAAATGGTGCTGCTTTTAGCCAGAGCTTGGAGAGGGCTTAGTAATGATGCTGAAATGAAAAAATGAAGGCTTTTGAACCCAGTAACATAGGTTTTAATTCTAAAACCTGCCATTTACTTCTCTAGCTGAATGATGTTTAACCTTGCAAATGTAAGTGTCTTAATCTGCTACTTTACAGGGATCTTGTGAGGACTATAATAATATATTTAAACCATGAAGCATAGAATCTGGAATATTTGGTGGTAGATGATGGTCATGCCTCAGTGATTATGGTGTACTGTAATGTCACATATAAAATATGTCTGCTAGCTAAAGCGGGTATTTAACCAAATGCAGGAAACAGAATTAGCAATGCTATTAACTAGGACCACATTTATACTTATGTAGCCAATTAAAAGCAATTACTATTTCAACTGGAATTACTTGAATTTATTACATTCATTAGGGCCCCTATGTAAGAGAGATTATAGTTGAATTTCATAATAAATTAATAAATGATCTCAATGGAAACATTGGGAAGCAAACTCTAATGCTTTGGGGTTTTTGTTGTTTGTTTTCTTTTCTTTTCTTTTCACCTACTGGCAGTTTTCAGGAAGGTACACAATTGTACTCTTGTCAAAGGATAATTAGCCTTCATAGATGGTATCACAGAAATAGAAAATATTTCAAAATAAATTATTTTGCTAATACTTTCTCCCAGTAGTTAGTCTATGCTTCTTGAACATCAAGTAAACCTAATTGGTTTAATGAGAAGTAAGGATATGAAGTTGTATTTATGAGGTTATGTTTAAACTAGAGGATCTCTCATAAAAGGCATCCCCTTGCTGATCCCTGAGCTGAGACTTTCTCTCTTCTTTTTCACTCCACAGGTGCAATCCTTTCTGTTTGTGCCTTCGTAATATTTTATACTTGAATGTCTAGTCATGAGGGTACATTAAACATAGATATTTACAATGTCATTTATTTTTTATCTTTATAAATAAAGAAAAATTAAGAAACAAAAAAGTTTCCATTCAATCTTTGTTGACTTTAGTACACAATTTTGGACATTAACCCAAGATGATTAAACAAAGAAGATGGCCAAAGTAGAAAAAGCCATTCATATAAATTACATAGTACTGTATAACCTATTCTCGTCCAGATGAGGAGTAGCTGCTTATATGCAATAGTAAGAAAATGAAGCATTATTAAGAGTTTCCGGTCGAAGTGTGAGATCAGATCACTACTATTCAGTATGCTATATGATTGGTCTTCTAGTATTCATAAAAATAATTATGGAAAGAATTTGATGAATGAAAACCTCTTCTTGGCTTGCAAATATGAGATTTGGTTAGTGTATTTAATGAACTGTGTTTTAACTATTATAATGTCCTATATCATATCATGGCATTTTCCTAAATGTACAGAACATGAATTGTGCTTTTAGAAATTTCTCATCCACAGCAGATACATGTGGTGTTTAGAATCAGTTTACATAAATAAGTGTTAGAAATGTTTGCAAAATTCTATTCCTATACAAATTCCATATGACTCCAGAGCAAGGGGAATAAAATAAAAAGGAAAAAGAGATACCAATGAAGGCTTAACTAGCTTTCTCCTGATGAAGTGTTTTGTTATGTGATTAGGCATGTGAAAAGAACTCTAATTTAACTAAATTTGAAATTATGTATTTTGCTCCATAGCATAGTAATTATATACAACTTTATCCTCAGTTTCTATAGATCCTTCCTTCTTCCTCATATCAGCACTTTGTATTATTAAAGTGTCTCATTACAAAGTAATGAGATAATATATATTTGTATAAATTACACAAAATTTTCTAACTAGTTTATAATTACGACACATATTTGTGGAGACTTTTCATTGGGATATTGGTGATGTGAGAAAAAGCATTAAATATTTATGATATTTAAAGCAAGGACAAAAAATAATTTCAAATAAGAAAAATCTTTTGTAATTAGCAAATTATCTCAACAATAAACTGCATTTTAATGTTGCTATAGAAGGAATCTCTTTAGCAATAGGCTCTTGATTTTAAAAAATTTATAAAATTATTGGGGTTAAATGGGGAGTTTGTAGAATTTTTTAAAGTATGGAATATTATATATATGAATATCTACTTACAGATATATATACATACATATGTATGTATTTGTATGCATACATGTGTATACACATAATTTTTGTCTAAAATATTTTCATCGAACATAGGAGAAATATGTTATTATTAATTAAAAATTTTTCTTTTAAGGATAGTTTGGTTGACCAAAGTATTTGTTAATAGGAAAAAGGAACTACAAAGTTCTTAATATTATTTTCTATATGCATGAAATCTCGTTAAAGAGAGATATCAACCCCAAAGAAGTTCACTCTGTTCCAGAGCATTTGTTAAACAATTTATCCTAGTATAATTACAGTAGAAAATCAATAAGGAATTCTTTAAACAATTCTTTTTGTTGACATTTCTAATTTTCAGAAAGGTATACAATCTATTGTTATCATTTCTAAAACACCCTATTAAAGCAACTTAGAATGAACTTTTAAAATAAAGATTTTTATGCTTGTGAAGCAAACTATAATTCAAAGGTTCAAATTCACACAGGCATCATCACAAATAAATGGTGTGGAACATGATTTGAAAAATGTTCTTAAAAATTTATAAGAATCTGTTTCAGATTATAAATCTTGAAGAGAATGGCACATCTACTCGCAACACTAAGCAAAAATTGTCATGTAATTTATTAGTTAGCATTTGTTGTGTAACAAACCACTCCAAAATTAGTGGCCTTAGACAATAAGCATTTATTATTGTTTACAAGTCTCTGATGAGCTTGGCAGTTCATCTGGTGTAGTCTGGTGTTGTCTGGTGTCACTCGTGAATGTAAACTCAGCTGCCAGGTCATCTGGGGTCTGGCTATTGTAGGATGGCAGCAAAGCTGGTACATCTCAGCTCTGTCCCATGTGGTCTCTCCTCTTCTAATAGGTTGACCAGATTTATGCACAGGTCTGAGGAGTTTCAAGAAAGAAAGTGGAAACACATGAGATCTCTGGAGGCCTATGCTCAAAACGTGCACAGAATCACTTCTCCATATTCTACGGATCAGAGTAGTCACAAAACAAGCCAGATTAACAATGTGCTGAAATAGACTCCACCTCTTGATAGAAGGAACTGCAAAGTCACATTTGAAAAGAGAAATAAATATTAGGAGAGGGATAATTGTGGCCATTTTGCAAACAATCTACCACAGACAAGTTTACCTAAAGACATGTAAGAAACAGAATGGTTTAATATATTGTGAATTAACAGAAACATCAGTAAAGTTACCTCACACAAAAGGATCCAGTTTGACAACTACTTTTGGATGAAACTCATGTCTCATTCTCCACTTAGATTCAATTCAGTGGCTACGCTCGTGATAGTTACTGTGGTAGGCAGAACAGTGGCCTCTCAAAGACGTCTGCATCCTAATCCCCAGAACATGTGAATATATTACCTGACATTGCAAATATGATTAAGTTAAGCATCTTGAGATGTAAAGATTTTTCTGAATTAATTTCAAATAAGAACTGGGTATTTATTGAAGAGATACAAGAATGTCAGAGTGAGAAAGAGTCAGAGAAGGTGACATGATGACAGAAGCAAAGATCGGAGTAATGCCTTGCCATGACCCAAGGAATGTGGGCAGTTCCTGGAATCTGGAAATGGCAAGGAAGCTGATTTTCCCCTAGAACATCCAGAAGAACACAGACCTGTGGACACCCAGAGTTTAGTCAGTGAACCTGTTTTCAGACTTTGACCTCCAGAACTGTAATATAATAAATTTGTGTTGCTTTAAGCCACTATGTTTATGGTAATTTGTTATAGCAGCAATAAGAAACTAACACAATTGCATGTAGGCTCTTTAAGTATTAACATTAAAAAATGGTTGGGTAATATGTGATTTTGGAGTTTTCCTCTGTTCTTCCCTGATGAACATATCCACATCTTTCAAAATCATGTCTGACTTTTTACTATTTGCAGTTGAGGGCATATGTAGTGGATTGAATTATGTTCCCCCAAAATTCACTGAAGCTTGAATTGTGCCCCTCCAAGTTTTATGTATTAGAAACTTGGTCCCCACTGTTGACTGTTAAGAGAGTGGGAAATCCTATCATGATTATTGAAAAGTGGAGCCTTGAAGACATGATTGGATTGTAGGACCGTGCTGTGTAGTAAATGGATAAAAACTGGTGGTCAGGGGCATGATTCTGAGGGCTTTAAAAGAAGACAGAGGAGAGTCTGTCTTTCTCTCTCTCTGCTCTGTCTTCTTCCACCATCTTGCAATGTGAGACCCCTGGGTCACTGTCACCACCACCAGATGTGTTCCTTGAGACTTCCAAGCCTCAGAAACTGTCAGTGATAAATTTCACTTTCTTTATAAGTCAACCAGTTTCAAGTATTTTGTTATAAGCAACAGAAACAAACTAATACAGCATAAATGCTTATAATATTAAGTAATCAAGGAACATTAATAAATCTTTAAAAGTCTTAGTTTTAGATGACCTGTACTGATATACAGCACATAATTACCCAAAAGGGTGAATTTATCAGAAGGAGAGGAAGTTTGTTAAGAAAGAAAGTAA